GCGGGGGACGACTCTTTATTCTTATTTTCACCCAGTGATCCTGCCAGACACACATCTTCTGAGACAGGATGACAATACTCACGGTACATGATCTACAGGAGGAGCAGAGTTGTCACCTTACGCCAGGAAGCAATTTAGGACTACAGAACCCCTTAACCTCTCCTCAATAACATAGGGAAAGGTGTTCTGTAGTCCACAGAGAGACCAGTCATAGCAGTCAGAGGAGGCAGTGAGTACAGAAAGTGATCAGCTCACAATTCCCTGGCAGGGTCAAGTATTTGTTACACTTACCGAACAGATATATCAAAATCCTTTCAACTGTATGGAGCAAATGAAAGTTCTTTGTTAGTGTTTATATCCCCAGCAGAAAATACTTCCCGTCACTCCGCCACTGCTCTGTTCTGCTGCATGGAGCAAGGAAATGAAGCTCGGTCTAAGTACTAGTCATACGTCCACCTTACCAAGGGCTAACTGTCCCCCCCGCCCCCATGGGACAGGCACCCCTGATCCCTTCGTCACCTCTCTACCTCCAGCCTGCACATTGGACAGCAAATCAACATCAGCACCTCTGTCCAATGAGCAGGGAGGAGACATTAAACAGCATCATACAATGTCTATGGTGCACACGCCATGATGGACTGTGGTCTCTATAGTAAATATCTATTCCACTGAAGTGCAACTGCAAGGCATGGCAGGCCTCTAACCAGACAAAGGTTCACTGCTTCAGCAGCAAAGTGTTCTGGGTAATTAGGACAACTGTGGCAAAGTTTCACCCAGCCATGCCAGCTCATAACAGCAGCTGGTTCACTGTGCCAGCTACATAAAATAAATTGGTATGGTAGGTCTTACCCTTTGGACAAGGATTATTGCATCTCTTGTTCTACTTTATCACCCACCCCAGGAGTGCCCACTGTCACCCCCTTAGGCTCCCTGTGTCATCCCCTTAGGCTCCCTGCGTCATCTCCTTAGGCTCCCTGTGTTAGCCCCTCCCAGCAGTGCCCACTGTCACCCCCTTAGGCTCCCTATGTCACCCCCTCCCAGCAGTGCCCACTGTCACCCCCTTAGGCTCCCTGTGTCACCCTTTCCCAGCAGTGCCCACTGTCACCCCCGTGGGCTCCCTGTGTCACCCTCTCCCAGCAGTGCCCACTGTCAGTCCCTTAGGCTTCCTGTGTCACCCTCTCCCAGCAATGCCCACTGTCACCCCTTAGGTTCCCAGTGTCAACTCCTCCCAGCATTGCCCACTGTCACCCTCTCCCAGCAGTGCCCACTGTCAGCCCCTTAGGCTCCCTGTGTCACCCTCTGCCAGCAATGCCCACTGTCATCCCCTTAGGCTCCCAGTGTCAACCCCTCCCAGCAGTGCCCACTGTCACCCTCTCCCAGCAGTGCCCACTGTGACCTCGTTAGGCTCCCTGTGTCACCCGCTGCCAGCAACGCCCACTGTCACCTCCTTAGGTTCCCAGTGTCAACTCCTCCCAGCAGTGCCCACTGTCACCCTCTCCCAGCAGTGCCCACTGTGACCTCGTTAGGCTCCCTGTGTCACCCTCTCCCAGCAGTGTCCACTGTCACCTCCTTAGGTTCCCAGTGTCAACCCCTCCCAGCAATGCCCACTGTCACCCTCTCCCAGCAATGCCCACTGACACCCCCTTAGGCTCCCTGTGTCACCATCTCCCAGCAGTGCCCACTGTCATTCCCTTAGGCTCCCTGGGTCACCGTCTCCCAGCAGTGCCCACTGTCATCCCCTTAGGCTCCCTGGGTCACCCTCTCCCAGCAGTGCCCACTGTCATCCCCTTAGGCTCCCTGGGTCACCCTCTACCAGCAGTGTCCACTGTCACCCCCTTGGGCTCCATGGGTCAATCCTCCCAGCAGTGCCCACTGTCACCCCCTTAGACTTCCTGTGTCACCCTCTCCCAGCAGTGCCCACGGTCACCCCGTTAGGCTCCCTGTGTCACCCTCTCGCAGCCGTGGCCACCCTGACTCCCCTGTTACCCCCCTCCCAACACTTGCCACCCTCACACCCCCCTGTATTACCCCCTCCTCACAGAGGCCACTCTCCCAAGCAGTGTTTAGCCTCACTCACTCAGACTCCCTGCCTTTACCAACCTCTCTCTCCAGCAGCTCACACTGCCTTCAGACCCGACAGCGCCAGCGGCCAACCAAAACGCGGCTTAGTTCCCCCTACAAACCAATCAAAACGCCACTGACATCACGTGTAGCCCAGCTCTCCAGGAAGCCGACCAATCAAAACGCGCCTGATACAAAGATGGCCGCCTCGGCTTCGAAGCTTGTGCGAGAGGGCCTGTGAGCGTGCGCAGAACATACAACTCACTTCCCGGGTCGGCGCTGCGGGATTGGTCTCGGCTTGAGCAGCAGAGAAGAGGAGAAGGAAACAGGAAGTGCGCGGTACACTGGGGGAGCCCTGTAACGGTAAGAGAGGGGCCCCGTAGGGATGGAGATAGTGGCGGGGTACAGGGGTGACGACTCCAGGCAGCATTCCGCTGCCCTGCCCATCATTGTGTGTCTGCTTCTTTGTCTTATATCGCAGCACAATGACCACATGCAGCCTGCCAAATGCAGACAATGGGGAGGAGGGTTCCTTTATTATATTATACTGGTATTAGACTGGGATTGCATGCTTCCTGACTGGTGTGACTGCCCACCTTGCAGTGCTCCCTGCTTAGGATACTGGGAGGGTCATTGGCTTTCTCCCAGTATGGTCCCCAGTGTGTATAGGAGGCTAGAAATTAGATTGTAAGCTCCTTTTGAGGGATAGGGATTAAGGTCAAAGTGGATCTAATCCTGAGAATTTTTATACATTACCTCTTGCCCGTCCTTTCATGGGGTGGCTGCATTCGTTTTCTTTTGCCTCTGTTAGTCATGGCTGTAACTGTCAGTCTTGCAATGCCTCATGGGACTTGTAGTCCCACAACAGCTGGAGGGCTGGAGTTGACCACTGCTCGTTTAGATGAGGCAGTTGGATCTGTAGCAGACCAATAGGATTTGAGTCTTCTAGTGACATCATGGAAAGGTGATTGGTGATGAGTTGTGACTGATCCACATTGCACATGTGTGGCAGCTTTATGTTCACTGCTTGTAGGAGGTTTGCGCTTTCCCAGGCCATGACTTGTATGTATTATTAACGTGTCGGAGTGATCAGTAACCAGTGTCCATGTTTTATATGAGACACTTTCAGGGAGTATTGTATCACTCCTTAGCAAGTAAGCAATCTCTGCACTCCAGCTGTGGGGAAACTACAAATCCCATAATGCCTCTGCCTCAGGGAGTCATGCCTGTGGCTGTCAGAGTCTTGCAATGCCTCATGGGACTTGTAGTTGCACAACAGCTGGAGTGGCCAGGTGGCCTACCCCTGTTCTATGGTAAGCTGCCAATCACTGGCTAGATGGAGCGCTTTGATTTAAAGGCTAAGTTTGCCTACTGGACCATGTTTCATGACCCCCATAGTCAGGCTGTAACATCAAACATGGTTACTCGTCACTTCCTGTTCCATAGGCACAACAGGAAGTGAAAGATAATCTCTCCAACGTGAGGGAAACCTGGTTATCTCCAGGGTCACCAGAACTAGTGTTCTCATTGGAAGGTTTCCCCTCTGTTCTCGTGATTTTCTTTCACTTTCAGTGATAATTATTAGTATTACATAGTATTTATATAGCGCCAACAGTTTGCACAGCGCTTTACAATATAAGGAAGACATTACAATCACAATACAATTCAAGACAAGATGGTAAGGAGGGCCCTGCCCCTGAGGGCTTACAATCTAAAAGAGGAGGGGGAAATGATACACGAGGAGGGAGCTGTGAGGGGATGAATGGAGGGAACTCTCCCTAATGGGGACACAGACAGCAATAAAAGCCTGACAGGTGTTCTAATCCCTCTTCTCTCTATCCAGAATACAAATGTTATCTTCAGCTCCAAGTGAATGCGGTTTCATCATATTTACACAGCTCAGTGAAAATTCACTTTGCTAAGTTAAAGGATAACTACATCTATAAAGTTATCCTTTAATTTACCTCACCCCCCCCTTTTCCTCCCTCCAGCACAACCTCAGAGTCTCATTGTCACCTGGCCATGCTTTTGTCAGGCGGCCCAATGGGGCACCACTATAAGGCCCCGTTCACACTGAGCGGTTTATCGCGCGATATCGCTCTATGTAGCTTTTCCAATGCATTTCAATGGAGCTGTTCACATCTCACAGCTCAATGTCGCCTGTAGCTCGTTGCTGGTACATGACCGTTTTTTCGGCGGATGTCAGGCGATTCGGCCCCAATAGACTCAATGGTGTGGGGGAAAATCGGCCATTACCGGCGATATTGTGCGAAATTGCGCTACAGAAGGGTCACTTTTGCACTGCAAAATGGAAGGAAAGAATGATGTCACATCAAGATCGCTGTTGATTGGTTACAGCCCAATGTAGCAGCGATGAAGTCCCGGCCAAAAAACGCGCTACGTAGTGAGATAAAATGTGCAATGTTGCTCAATAACGCGCAATGTAGCTCATAGCCGCTCAGCCCGAAATCACGCAATATCCATGTTGCTCAGTGTGAATTGGGTGTAAACTCTGCCGGCTGACCCCTGACCTCTACACATGGATGGAGAACTCTTTCATTTTGGATGAGTAAGGGAGGGTTATAAACCCTGTTAGTTTCTTTTTTGCCATGTGTCTCATTGGGGAGTGTTCCTTTCACTTCCTGTCTGATAGCCACAACAGGAAGTGAGGGGGAGTTCCCCCCTAAATTGAGGGAAATCCCTGGTTATGGAAAGTTCACCAGAACTCATTTCCCTTCTGTTACTGTAGACCAGGGGTAGGCAACCTCGGCCCTCCAGCTGTTGTGGAACTACAAGTCCCATGAGGCATTGGAAGACTCTACAATACAAAAATAAAGCCGCTCTGCCCTCTCAGACCCAATATTCCATGGGAACCGCGCTGCTCAGCATAAGGGCTTTGGCGATCCGTGACCGCGCAGCAATCATGCATGATACCACACGGATTGTCGAGTTGCCCATCACCGACAATCGTGCTGTTGGTGCCATTATTTTCTAATGGCACCCCAGTCGTGCAGGGTGGATTGCGCGGTTTACCGCCGCGATTCTGCCTGTGCATCGAAGCATGATCGCGGCTACAAGACGCGCGATCCCGTATCGCTCAGGTCTGCACTGGCCCTTAGTCTCTGCCAGACCCAATCAGCAAAATGAAGGGGAAAAGAGCTGGGATAGGTTACAGTTTAGAAGAGGGGTAGGAAACCTCAGCACTCCAGCTGTTGTGGAACTACAAGTCCCATAAGGCATTGCAACACTTTGGCATTATGGGATTTGTAGTTTCCCCACAGCTGGAGTGCTGAGATTGCTTACTTGCTAAGGAGTGATAAAATACTCCCTGAAAGTGTCTCATATAAAACATGGACACTGGTTACTGATCACTCCGACACGTTAATAATACATACAAGTCATGGCCTGGGAAAGCGCAAACCTCCTACAAGCAGTGAACATAAAGCTGCCACACATGTGCAATGTGGATCAGTCACAACTCATCACCAATCACCTTTCCATGATGTCACTAGAAGACTCAAATCCTATTGGTCTGCTACAGATCCAACTGCCTCATCTAAACGAGCAGTGGTCAACTCCAGCCCTCCAGCTGTTGTGGGACTACAAGTCCCATGAGGCATTGCAAGACTGACAGTTACAGCCATGACTAACAGAGGCAAAGGCAAAAAGAAAACGAATGCAGCCGCCCCATGAAAGGACGGGCAAGAGGTAATGTATAAACATTCTCAGGATTAGATCCACTTTGACCTTAATCCCTATCCCTCAAAGGAGCTTACAATCTAATTTCTAGCCTCCTATACACACTGGGGACCATACTGGGAGAAAGGCAATGACCCTCCCAGAGGCAGATGCTTGATGGGATTTGTAGTCTCACAACATTTGTAGTGTCAAGGTTGCCTTCCCTCTGCTATAGAGCACCTGTCTATGATGCACATTGACCGTAGGCGGCCTCTCCATAGCTATGAAGGGGATTTGTTCTGTATGGGACCGGCCGGGAGAACTTCAGTAGCCACACAGTGTGGATCTGGTGGATGCCCGCCCCTCATTGCAGTCATCAGAAGCCCGCCCCTCATTGCAGTCATCAAAAGCCCGCCCCTCATTGCAGTCATCGCAAACCCGCCCCGATCGCAAGTACGATCTGCCTGTCCAAGATGGGCAGATCGTACGTTTTTTAAAAGTACTTTACAACCCTCGCAGGACAAAAGTCTTGCGAGTGTTGTAAAGTGTATGAGCACCTTAAGACTTTCAGGCTGTGAGGGGGAGGAAGGGATAAAATAAAGTGTCGCTGTACAAAAGGCCAGTTATCCTTTAACTTGGTGAATGATCTGTGAGCTCGGTGAATACGGTGACAGTGTGTTCATTTCAACCAACCAGGGACTTGGAAAAATCAATTTAAAAAAAAAAGTCCCTCACACGGTGAACACAAATTCACCGTATTTACTATTGGAATGTTCCCATGCAGCAGGGAACATCTCCTCCTGGTAATAAATGAACCTCTCTGGGTTAATGACATGAGCGTGGCAGTGAGGTTGATGGAAAATCATGTCTATGAAGTGTATTTCTCAGAGAAATAATTGGGATTTGCAGTAAATTATGAGATGACCATTTTTTTTTTCTAATATTATAACATTACTTTACAACCTCGGCACTCTACCTGTGCTGAAACTACAGATCCCATCATGCATCTGCCTCTGGGAGTCTTACCTGAGACTGTCGGTCTTGCAATGCCTCATGGGAATTGTAGTTCCACAACTGCTGGAATGCATGGTTTATGTAGAAGTTAAAGGAGAATTATGAGGCGAGTGATTTTCACTCAGCCTCATAATCTGAGCCGAACTGTGACAATGAGACCGTCACAGGTCGGCTCAGTAGATCGGGAAGTGAGCGAATACATACCGGCGTTCGCTCACTTCTCGATCCTGTGCCAGGGGAGGGACTGGATTCACTCACGGCTCCCTGCAGGATTACCTCCCCCCCCCTCCCCTGTCTGATCTTCCAGCGCTGACTAGCTGAACGGACGGGGGAGGGGGCGGGTACAGCTGGCTCTCCCTCTAGATAGGCAGAGCCAGCTGTCACTCACGCAGCTGGGTGGATCCAGACAGTAATGTCGGGACCTGTTCCGGCTGCGGCGTCTCAGTATATCGTGAGCTGTAGCTTGCGGTATACTGAGCCTAGGGTGACGGGAGGACGCTAGTTTGTGTCCTCCCGTTACCCTAAGGAGAACTATGGGGAAAAGCCCTGACCCCATAGTTCTCCTTTTTAAAGCTGACGTTTATATTAAATCTGCTTCTGTTTTTGCCGTCCCTGGCTCCTTTTCTCTCCCCCCAATAAAATGATTATTCAGTTTTTATTACTTTCCTTGTTTTAGATCCAGCGAAGTCATCACTGGGTGTCTGTGCTTCTCTATGCAGTGCAGGCAGATAGTGGCTGGTGGGAGGGGCTAGCAGGGTGCCGTAGATAGCTTACTGGAAACGGGAAGTTCTGGCAACACCCTCATGTAGGGCCGGTTCACAACACCCCGTTCGGCCGAAAGACGAGTGATGGTTGTAAGGTGTATGGGCAGCTTCAGTGAGCGCTGCTACCACAATATGGCACACAGTGGAATTTTTTTTAAAAATTATTATTTATTTTATTATATATTTTTTCTTTTAACAAGCAGGCCACTACAAGTGATCTGGGCAGCTGCATTTTGTTTTAGTCAGTGGACCAGCATGACCGAAAGATTTTCAGAAAGTGGATTACGTGTTTCAGAGGTCACGCCTCTTTCCTCAGAACCAATTGGGAGCGTACCACTTGATTCTGAGGAAGGAGGCGGGACCTCTGAAACACGTAAACTACTCACTACCAGGGAAGACGAACAGCCGGTGGATATGCACCTTTCGTTCTGACCCTTTATGCCTGTTTTTATTCGTCCTTTGTGAGTACCTTTCAGGGCCATCTTTAATATTAATTGGGCCCTGGGCAAGATTTTGCTGATGGGCCCCCACAACCATCCATCACCTGCCCCCCCTTCCCTACCCAGAACCCTGTATGCGCAATGGACTATGTCTGTTTTATTTGTAGAATGCATATTTTGAAAACGCAGTGGATCATGCAGCAAGTGTTTGGGGACATGCAATGTTAATGCATTTCCGATTTTGCTAATATAACCACACACTGGTACATTTGTTCTGTACTATTTAATAATAGAATAAGACTTTTGTACCCTCCGCCTAATCCTGCTCTGTGCCTGCTGGATCTATGTGACGGGCATCGGGGGGGGGGTCAATCACTGCAGGAGGTGGCACATAGACACTGGCGGTTTATAGCCTGTGAAGTAATAGGCTGGAAACCGCTACTGGCCGGTCTCCCCACCAGCAGTGCTGCTTTGCTTGTTCTGTCTGCTGCTCGGGCGAGAGGTATAGCTGCGGTGGGCCCCTGTAAATTATGGGGCCCAGGGCAGTTGCCCCTTTTGCCCTGCGGTAAAGACAGCCCTGGTACCTTTTTTATACCATTTTTATTTTATTAGTTCATTAAAAAGTTTTTATGCGATGGAGGCGCTCTCTGTGTCTTGTCTTGCAGTGCTGAGGTTGTTGTGAACCTGGCGAGAGCCGCCCCGTTATCGCCCTGCACTCCTGTACATCATTGATTAATACTCTCTTGAACCAAAATCTGCTGGCGCGGTGTTTGATTCTGTCTGCATTTTCAGAAAGTCAGCAATGACAACTCTGGTGTGACGGGTTTCCTGTGGGGTCACCCGGTTATGCGTCTGCGTACTGTTAGACAGCGAGCAGTAAAAAATATGTTTATTGCCTTTCGAGCATTTCAATGTGTCGGGTAAATACTTTCAGCATTCATACACAAAAGTGCCCTGTGCCTTTTTATTACGTGTGCTTTAATCTCTGCTCACACCCTCTCATTTCTTTAGCCCAGTTGCTGTGACATGGATCCTTGCCTCAGATAATGACTACCACTGAATACCGCAGCCCTTGAATATCTCCAGGACCATGGCGAAAAGTGGAATTCCTGAACATGAAGTCACCAAGTATTCAACGTTCTAGATGATTGTGCTCGCTTGGATTGTTTTTCACACCAGCAGAAGCCTTCTCCAAGGTTTTCTGTTCCGTTTTGGGCACCATACAGTGTGTGTAAATGAACAGTCGGGGACCAGAAACATGGGAAATACCTGTGTGTGCAGAGAAGACAGTGGACTGGAGGACAATGTAGACTCTCCAAGTCAACAAACTGAAAACCGCATCATACCTGCCAGCGAGGCCAGAAACCGCCCAAGGGACCCAGTGCGGCCTCCGCGGAGAGGTCGGGGGCCACACGAGCCTCGGAGGAAAAAACCTAATGTGGACGGCCTGGTGCTGGATACTTTGGCTGTCATCAGAACGCTGGTGGACAAGTAAGTCTGAGCTTCAGTGTCCATATAACACTTGGGGGGGATTTTATCAAAACTAGGGAAGTCCAGATACCAGTGCCGATACTTGGCATTTTAACGAGAACTATCAGGGCTGCAGATGGGACCTGGCTCTGGTGCTCCACCACTCTCCTGAAATCATTAGTCTGTATTGGTTTAGAAAAACTGTCACATGACAATAAACAGAAATGTATCAGTACTTGTACTTGTAAGTACTCGGCAAGTACCAGTACTTGTATCTGTGAGTACTTGGGTAAGTATCAGTACTTGTACTCGCAAAACTGGTATCGGTGCATCACTTATATATATTTATTTAAAAAGAATAATGCATTAAAACAGAGATGTACAAATCCCAGGAGCTCCGTGTGCTCCTTACAAATGACAGCTACCTCCTGACTTATGAGTTTTTCTCCAGTCTAGTCCCGGAGCTGGAAAAGCATCTGTACTTGTACTTGTAACGAGTACTGTACTTGGTATCTGAACATCCCTAATCAAAACTGGAGCAGAGAAAATGTGGAGCAAATTTTCATGGCAACCAATCCGCTTCTATCTCCTTAACTGAGCAAACTGAAGAGAGAAGCTGATTGGTTGCCATGGGCAACTGCTCCATATTCTCTCTGCTCCAGTTGTGATAAATTCCCCTCTCGATGTTTCTATAAATCATGGACAAGGTGACGTTAGCAGCGTTGGTGCACTTGTACGTGATCTTTTTTTTTTTTGCACTGATGTCAGACGGTTGACTGTCGCTAGAGATCCTGCTGCTGGTGATTTTGTCAAATTCACGACTGCAAGATCGCTCAGTCTGTTCCTATGAAATCGCTCCCATTGCTAGTGATTCCGATTCAGCAGTGTTCAGGCCAGTGACATCTTGCTGCATCTGGCTACAGAGGGAGCGATTCCATAGGGACGAGCAGCTTCTTTAGTGATCCTGCCATTTGCGATTTGTCTCTAGCAGCAGAGTTGTCCATCAGATATTAGCATTATGGTTACATTTTCAGTGGACCCCCCCGGAAGCGTCACTACTAGCTGCTTGTATGTTTAATAGATGCTAACTTGTACTAAGCATCAGCTGCAACTTGTGTAACTAGTCACATTCAGGGCTTGTTCACGCGATGTCCGGATTCTGTCCAGACCAGAACAGTTGGCTCCTGCACTAAAAACGCATCACAATGTATCCCTATGTGTTTTATGGGCTCTAGTTCACATGAGCGCAGTGCTTTCCGTTCCGGACAGAAAAAATACTGCACGTCACATTTTCTCTGGTCCGGAACGCACACGAACGCACCGGAAAACGCACTGCAGCTAACGGAAAAAAAAGCCCTTAGAGCGCCTTGATTCAAAGGCCAATTGGTCAGAATTCTTAAAGTGATATTAAAGCCTAACTTTTTATTGACACACCGATCGTTACCCCCATACAAGCGAGCCGCCGGCGGATCGCTTGTATGGTAATGGGCATCGCTGCCTGTTTTTAAATGTCGGGCTTTGCCTGCTCAGGCACGAGTGGGTGTGTCTGAGCAGACATCTAAAGAACGCCCGCTCAGATCTAGAGAGCTCCCGGCCAGCCGTTTTTTTTAAAAAGGCCGGCCGGGAGGTAGTTAAGGTGCCCATACACTGGCCGAATTTCGGTCGGTTTTTAATGTACCGGCCGAAATTTGCACTGTCGGCTCCCTTTCATCTGGCATTTCTTGATCAGCTGATCGAAGGAGCCGGCTGGAAAATCTTCGTACAATCAGAGCCAGCAGCAAATGAGCTGCCCGCTCCGATCGAGTATCCTGACATGTGGAGGCGGCTTCTGTCAGAATACAGCGCAAACCGCAGCGATTCCTCGATCGACGCGCTGTTTGTGTTTGATGGAGGAATCATGTCACTTTTTGTCATTCAGCCCACGGGTTAAATGTAAAAAATTGATAGGCGTATGGCCAGCTTTTGTCTTGTTCTTGCTATATGTTGGCAGTGCCCATGTTTCAATCTGATCGTGTGCCTATTCCAGTGATGTCTATGTAGGGGCATTTTTCACTGTCATTGTTTTAAAACAATGTGCACTTCTCCATTTTATCTCCCCGCCCTCTCCTTCTTCAGATGCATGCGTGCCTTGATCCCACAGCATCTGTTCCGCTGTTTAATTTCATCTGGTGCTGCAAGTCTTCACTGTCCTGGCTGCATCTGCGCATTACAGGACTCTCTCTGGCCTTGCGACACAGCCCCATAGAAGTCTATAGGGCACGAATGTGCAGGCAGGACATTGAAGACTTGCTCTGCTGGATGAAAACAAATAGTACAACCGCCGCCATCAATTTGAGTTAAGTATGGCTAAAGTCAGAATGTCTTTTTATTGTCATTGGGACATAAAGTGACTGCAAATCAGAAATGTCCCAGTTGTCACTATAAAAGGAGACCAGGATAAATCTTGCAAAGGGGACTCTTGTTCCAGTAATAGCTGTCCTATTCTGTGATAAGAATGGACTTCCCCTAACTTTTGGATACATTTCATTCACTTTCTATTTGTCCCTGGGACAAGAAATGTAGGGACATCCTGGGACACAGACATTAAAAAAAAGGGCAGTGGTTTTGGCTGTTGTGGAACTACAAATCCCATGAGGCATTGCAAGGTTCCCACAGGCATGACTTCCAGAAACAGATGCATGATGGTATCTGTAGTTTCACTGGAGGGCCAGAGTTTGTTCACCCCTGTTCTACACTATCCAACACTAATACAGGCAGTCCAAGAGTTACAAACATACGACTTGCATACGACTCCTACTTACAAACGGAGGCTATTACTGTACAGCGGGGGGTCCCAGGCTGCAGCCAAAGTGTACCGCGCGGCAGTTCAGTCGTAATGCTACCGCGCTCGTACCGACGAGGAGTGCCCGCCTTCTTGGGTCTGGTTCGTAGTACTGTACGTATATTACAGGAGGGGTGCCCACCTCTTCTTCCGGGTCACTGTAAGCTTTTTACTGCTGTCTGTATCCTCTTTAGAAAGATTTAATCTCACTTCCTGTCATTGAGACAACAGGAAGTGAGAGGAAATCTGAGAGTGAGAGGACTATCAAATGTAAACAGTAGTACTGTTTACTACCTCTCCTGTGATTGGCCCATCCCCGACCACCTTATTTTGCCTTTACAGCATTCCTCCACCACTCCCTCCTCTGTTGCTGCCGTTGCAAAATACAGTGCTTCCAGGTATGGAGAAGCATATGACCTCCTCCCATGATACAGTGCTAAGACTTAGCAGCCAGTTGAGCACAGTCACATGACAAAGGAGCAAGATGACAGGTTCTCTTTAAAGTAATTCCACCACCTTATGTCTTCAAATTGTACCAGGTCTTATAGTTATCCTTGTCATTTCCCACTGAATGGTCCTGAATGGAGCCTGCAAAACTGTAGACCACTCTGTTTCATGGCTCCAGCACTACCAGTGCCCTGAGGACATTTACTGGAAAACATATGAGTGTGAGTGGGAGGTTGCACAGCACATGATCTTGCGCTCTTGCTCATAACTAGCCAAAATGACCCTATCACCAGCTTGGAATTCAAATAAAATGCTGCCTGTAAAAGAATATCAGTACCTGTCCTGCCCACTGTGCCAATACACTTTGCTCTTTTGATGAGCTACAACTGTCTAAGACTGTTCTGCATCCCACTGACTTCCAGGGTTGCCGGATGCATTCCATCCACCGACCACTAAGTCCCTACCGGACATAGTAACAAGGTAAACTCCACAGAAACTCCACTGCAAGGTCTGTGGGGTGGGAGCACCCTATACAAGAGCAATGTTTTCCCATCGATTTATATGAATTTGGATGATATCATCATAGGAAATGGTCTTTTCATTGGATGTGTTCAAGCAGAAGTAAGCATTGTAGGAGTCAGCAGGGAGTCGGGGAACATGGGCTTTCATTAACAGCAATATAAAAGGCTCAGACACAGACTCACAGACTCACTGTCATTTTGGAAGCATTGGTTACTGGGCTTCTGGGATTTCTCCATCCCTACATTAATCTACAATCGAGCGTGTAGCAGAGGTGATGGCGTTTGCCCCTTTGGCTGAAGTTATGTGACTAGCTGGTTGGGAATCGATAGTCTGACTATAGAACATCTGCTGCCTGCTATAATTTCCTGTTCACAATGACTCTGATCCATCAGCGTATCCCTTTTTGAAACGCGTAATCCCTTGATCATTAGCCGCTTGATATTGGTATAATTAAGATTGCTCATCCTTTCCTGCGCTTCTGTAAAATCAATATTGTAACCATTATCTTTCAGTGACCAGGAGCCCCCCTATTCCATGATCACGCTGCACGAAATGGCAGAAACAGGTATTTGGATTTTGCTTTTCTTATATTCTGCTTTCTGTTGTGTTTGTTCATATTTTATTTGATCAGAGATGATGATATTTAGGGCTCATACACACAGATGCATTGGGGGCATACAGCATAAAAATGTGGGTTTTGTTGTCTCTTTGGAAACCCAGCTGGTGCAAACAGTCGCCCATAGATATGAATGGCTCTGTACTTCTGTATGTGCGTATATGCTGGTGCTTGTGTAAACCAACGTATGTACATATTGACTGAGCGCAGCAGTCTGCATCCAGGTTGTATGTCCATATGTTCTACGTGGGTTTATGCAAGTGTCCATGGATGACCGCGCACAGCCATTCATACTCATGTACCAGCTAGGCTTCCTGGGCATGGAAAAAAGCCTGAATGAATTCTTATATTCCGTGCCCGTGTGATTGATCCCTTTTATAAAATGCTGTAAATGAGGACCCTGACCATATGAGCTTACAATCTGATTCTTGGTTGTAATCTAATGACCGTCTGATCTTACCTCCATCCAGTGGCCCAGTGTGACATGGGGCAAGGATTAGATGGACAGAATGTCACCACTCTGTGCGCTGGCCAAAATCCTGAAACCATTAACATGTACATGTATCCACTGAGAGCAAGCAAGCGCTCAGATTTCACTTGGATCACTGTGGTGATTTGCAGCCTTCACAAACATTTACCTACATTTATACTATATACTGCTAGTGCTGTGATGAAGTAGGGATAACGGGAGGACACTAGTTTGTGTCCTCCCGTTACCCTAAGGAGAACTATGGGGAAAAACACTGACCCCATAGTTCTCCTTTTTAATAGGGATTACTTGCACTTCTTTTCATTGGTTCGGGTGTTTCTTTGCTCTTAGTGGATTTCTTTTTTTGTTTCCGAAAAACTTTTTTTTTTTTCCTATATTCACTGTAGTGGTGCCATTCTTGTACGTAAGGCAAAGATCAGGCTGTTTAGGGGTTCCCCTAGGAAAAGCAGCACAGAGTACTGCAGATGTTGAAAACCCTAATTGTTTATAGAGTTTATACAACTAGATTGGAAATCTCTGTGTGACCTGACAAATCTTTCGGCTGGATTCACACGTTTTGCATTTTTGTGCTTGATATGTTTCTATTGATTTCAAGAAGACACATTAAAATGCATGTACTGTGCATTGTATTTTAAGTTTCAATGTGTGTTGTAACGCACAACAATGTACGTTGGCGTGCATGTTAACCCATTTGTTGACATGCATGTTCATGTATTTCCATTGGTTTTAATGTAAAATGCATAGGAATGATTAAGCCTTTAACACCACAAGGACCAATAATGGAATTATTCTGGCATGGGTCCTTGAGGGTTTAAGCTTCCATCATGTGCTAAATGAGAAAATATATATGTAAATGTCACATCAAATTAAAGCCCTTTTTGTCCTTTTAAAAACGGTATATGATGTGTTGGTGCAATAAATGAGAACACACCCAGCAAAAAATGCTTTGGTCCTTAACTGAAATACAAGCATCTGAAGCTTGGTCCTTAAGGGGTTTAAATTAGATGTGAATGTAATTTAAAGTTTTTATATAAGCATATATAAAAACATGTTCTTGTTGTTTCAATCTGTTCAAATATGCAGCTTTTGGTAGAATAATCTCTGGTGATTCTGCCATAAAGGTCCTTGTTCAGGCACTTTCTCTTAGGGTTGACAACACTGTTACTGTCCCCCAGTGGAGCTACTATGTTGTCACCCCATGCACCCCAGGTGGAGACTACCTGGGGTGACGCACATTGTACAGGCATGGTCTACTGCTATCATTGTATAGAATGTGTGGACGCTGAGAGATATGCCATCTCTGGAGGGGAGGAGGCGGCAGGCTGCAGGGAACAGTGTAACAGCCAGCCAGGATCGTGGTTCGGGTGAGTATAACGTTATTTTATCTCCCAAGACAAAACAAGTACTTAACCCTTACAGTGCAGGAGTAGCCCCACTGCATGGGTTAATAGATTTGCCCGGAGTTCTTATTTAAATGGCCATGTTATAGGGATGTCCCGATGCCACTTTTTCAGGCCCAAGTACATCCCCTCATGTACTTGCCGATACCAATTACCGATACTTTTTCTTAAAGGGACAGGTGACTTTAAATGATCCATAGTACAACTACATGTTATGTACTATGGATCATGGTTTAACCTATTCATGTTAGCCGTGGAGAATTGTAACTCTATTGCTGGAGTGTAGTTGAGGTGTATGCTGTATATACAGGTGAAACTCGAATAATTAGAATATCGTGCAAAGTTCATTTATTTCACTAATGCAACTTAAAAGGTGAAACTAATATATGAGATAGACTCATTACATGCAAAGCAAGATAATTCAAGCCGTGATTTGTCATAATTGTGATGATTATGGCTTACAGCTCATGAAAACCCCAAGAACCCCAAATCCACAACCTCAAAAAAGTAGATTATTACATGCAATCAATAAAACAAGGATTGTACATAGAACAATATCGGACCTCTGAAAAGTACAAGCATGCATATGTACTCAGTACTTGGTTTGGGCCCCTTTTGCAGCATTTACTGCAATTACTTTTGCACGATCTTCTAATTATTCGAGTTTCACCTGTATGTACTACATATACATTACACACGTCCAGCACACTATAGCAATAGATTTACAGGCAGCCCCGTCCCAGCTTCCCTCGCTTTTCCCCCCTCCCCTTGCCCTCACTCACTGTGCCGGAGAGAGCAGCGACGAGTCAGCGCTGGTCCAGTGGGAGGAGCTCTAGGTGGGGTCCTAATTTAAGCGTTTGGTTATATCTGTCCGATAGAACAAAATGCTGGATAGAGTAAGGGAGAGTTAATACCCCTTCAGCTTTCGCCTTCTGTGTCCGATTGGGGGGGGGGGGGATTTTCCTTCACTTGATGTTCAATAGCCGCAACAAGAAATCTCCTCAAAGTGGGGTAATCCCTGATGGTAAACAGAGTCACCAGAGCTAGTGTCCCCACTGGAAGATTTCCCATCTATTCCTGGTCTGGTGACAACTCAATTCTTTCACTTTCAGTGATCAGTCACCAGGGTAAATTGAGAGGGTGGATTTCCCTAAAGGGGCACGCAGACTGCAATAAAAACCTGGCAGATGTTGTAATCCCCTCTCCGCCCTATCCAAAATGTGAAAAAAAGCAGAACTCTTGCAGTGGGGATACCGCTTCACTACAAGGGTTCACTGCACGTTTTTGTCTAGGTTCACAAATAACAAAATATACTCCCCTGATCCTCAGTCGGCTTGCTCTAAGACTGATCCCTTCCAACTCTCTCCTCCTCCATTGTAGTGATAATATGTCCCTTGGCGTCCTCGCGTCCCATACACCGTGTGTAGAACATAATGACCCACTTGACCACTGCAAGTGGGTCATTATGTTGGGTCATTACTTTTTAAACTTCCGGCGCTCGCAAGGGACGGAACCCAGAAGACTGCAGCGGCCGGAGGACACAGCGGGGATCGCGGACAAGGTAAGACCTACGCTGTATTCCTGCTTTGTTAACCCCGAGCTACACTCTGGAATACCAATGGATACGTGCTGAAATCTGCGTAGGGCGTTTCTCAGCGCATCAAAACGCGCTGGAATACGCCCATGTGGGAACCATGCACACAGGAGTTATTATTATTATTATTTTTATTATTATATAGGATTTATATAGCGCCAATAGTTTGCACTGCGCTTTACAATATAAGGAAGACATTACAGTCACAATACAATTCAAGACAAGATGGTAAGGAGGGTCCTGCCCCTGAGGGCTTACAATCTAAAAGAGTTAATAGGATTTCACTGCTTGAGCATTTTTCAGCGCTTTGATCAGCGCTGAAAAACGCCCAGGTGTGAACACAGCCTCAGAGCAAGCCGACTGAGTATCGGATGAACTTAAAGGAGAACTATGAGATGAGTGATTTCCACTCACCTCATAGTTCTAGCCGACCTGTGACAATGAGACTGTCACAGGTCGGCTCAGTAGATCGGGAGGTGAGCGAACACATACCAGGTTCGCTCACCTCTCGATCCTGTCACAGCTCTCTGCCGTGACAGTGGGAGGGGCTGGATTCCCCTCTCCCCACTCTGATCCGCCAGCGCTGACTGGTGGAATGCACGGGGGAGGGGGCGGGTACAGCTGGCTCTGCCTCTAGATAGGCAGAGCCAGCTGTCACTCACGCAGCTGGGCGTATCCTGTCGTCTAAGTCGGGATCCGCTCCAGGTGCGGCGTCTCAGTATACCGCGAGCTGTAGCTCGCAGTATACTGAGCTTAGGGTGACGGGAGGACGCTAGTTTGTGTCCTCCCGTTACCCTAAGGAGAACTATGGGGAAAAACACTGACCCCATAGTTCTCCTTTTTAATTTTTGTTATTTTTGAACCTAGACAAAAACAAGCACTTAACCCTTGCAGTGCTGTGGTAGCCCCAGTGCAGAGGTTAATAAAAAAAAATTCCCAGGGGTTCTGCTTTTAGGAACTTTCCGCATGCAGGTAATATTTCTTCCTAAAGATCTTCTGAGAACGGCAGTAGCATGCAAACTAATTTTGAGTGCTCTGGGTATCCTTACTGGTTTCTGTGTTGCTCATAGCAATAAGACTTCAGCTGTTTTGTTTTATGGCAGACAGGACACTGTGCGTGGACTGCTTGTGATATGCAGCGTAGACTCTTTGCTTTCCTCTTTTTATCAGCCGGGATTATTCTACAGTTGTATCTGGATGTTTGTTTATCATTTGAGTTATTGCTCTGATCCCTTTGCTTCCCTGCCACAGATAACGGCTGGCTGGATGTGGTGCAGTCTCTCATTCGAGTCATTCCATTAGAAGATCCTCTGGGCCCAGCTGTCATTACGTTGCTACTGGATGAGTGTCCGCTGCCAACAAAAGTACGTGTGATCTGGTTATATTGCGAGCTATGAATAAATCATTTGTTCCCTCCTAATGGTAATAAAAACCCGCATGCCAGTAGAAGAGGAGTGTGCTAGGACTGCTCTATATGAAAACATGCAATGCCAATGTAGCACTTTCCTAATGATGGGTTGGGATAGAGTTCAGGCATCCTGGGGGTGTAATGGTTCATTAAAGATGGATTTTGTTTCCAGCCAAGAGAAACAGGCTGATTCAGATGTGTCTGGTCATTGCCATGACTGAGCAAATATTTAGCGCTTACTGTGTACAGTTACAGTTTTATAGCCCTTGACAGCTTTATTCTCATTTTGTTATACCTGTGTTTTATGTAGATGATCTGCAGTTAAAGAGATACTATAAAAATAGCTGTTTACATAGCACATATTTTGGACGAGTTACAGGTCTATTCACACCAGCCGCTGCGCAGTGCCGATCCTGGCACATCACACTGTGTACTTTTTTTTTTTGTGTAAGAACTTTATTGAAATGTCACAAGTGACATCTCATTTCTAAAGGCACAGTAATGTGCGAGCCGGTTGTTCCGCATCACTTCCCACTGCACTAAAAAAAGGAAGGCACGCCATACTTTTTCTTTCAACGCACACCACTGTGTTCGCGATGATGTCAACGGTGTCCATCTGTGACAAGGCAAATGGCCTTGTCTGGCATTGGGGCTGCACTGGAAACAATGGCCAGCGTAGCCCCAACACCTGTGGTGTGAATGGACCCTAAGGGGCATATGCAAGTCTTTTTTTTTCTCTGTTGTGAACAGCTCCCTGTAGTAACACATAGGTACTTAACTACTACAGTTCCATTAAAAACAGATGCCGGGGGGTCTGTTCCACTTTTGTCCACCATCCATGAGAGGCTGAGTAAGGTATAGCTATAACAATACAGCTTAGCTTCCAACTGTCACTTAATTGGAGAGACGGTCCTTCTAATGGAACCAATTTCCTCTGTCCCTCTTCCTTTCGTCAAGTTGTCCCTGTTTTTGGTCAGATGTATAGATTTCTATAAAGAATTTGCTGTTTAACTAGCTAAGGTGTGTTACTGCACTAAACCTTGTATCTGATCTTTACATTATTGCATTTATTATTCATTCTTAGTGCACATAAGGGGTATCTATGGTCAAAAACTTAAAATAAATATGTATTTCTATATTGAACTTCTATAAGTTCTGTCCCATTCTTAGTAACCATATCCATCTAAACGTTTGTGAACTTACTTATTGAACATGCCTATAGGATGCACTCCTTAATGCACTTACACAATTTCACTCTATTCATACTCTATTCTGTGAATATGCATTCCTCGTGTCAACACTCTTAAGTCTGCCTTCTGAACTGCCAAGATGTACAGTAACATAATTTTCACTTGCTGGAAGCAATGCATGATGGGCTATGTAGTCTTAGGAAATAGAGATTACATCACATAAAGCAGCAGGGAAAGAGATGCAAAGCACAGGAAGTTGTTTAAAGTGATGGGCAGATGGAAGGCATAAAAGGGATTTTTTTTTTTCAAGTAAGCTTTGATTGCATTATCAAAAACAACTAAAGTATGTATTACAATGCTGGTGGCCGCGTACGTCACTTCCGGCGCGGGTGACGTCATTTCCGGGTGCCGGGCTTGTGCGTTCCAAGCCTCGTTTTCGGCGCAGGAGGAAGGGGAGGGCTCGGCTGGTGCTTAATACAGCGTGGATCTCAGTATTGACTGAGAGGAAACGCTGGCAGGCTTCTTTTGAACAGGCTCTGCGGACATGGATCCTGGGTTACCCCTGCAGCTTGCAGTGACTGCGGATACCGGTCTTCCAAGCACCAGCCCGGCTCAGGTATGGAAGATAGGTACTATGTTACCTCCCTGTTACCTCTGATATTTCTTTTCCTCCACCTGGGGTCCCTTGGTGTTGGATGCTTTGGTGTTGAGGGACACTCTAACCCCGTTTTTGAGTGAAGGACAGTGGGTAACAGGGCTCCTTGGTGTCTTTCAGGCTAAAGAAAAAACGAAGGTGGCCCCAAAGAAAAAATGTGCAGTTTGTGCGGTGAAGTTGAGCTCCGGTTATGTTAAAACCCTATGTCAGAAGTGCATTGAGGGTCGTCTTAGGGAAGAGTCTGCTGCAGCCAGTAGCAACCTGTTGGTTTCGGTTAGGGAGGATTTATCTGCTACGTTTAATTCCTTCAGGTCTGTTTTAGAGGGGTTCCGGGCTCCAATTCCCACAGTTGCTTCTACCCCTGTGCCTTTTTCTGCCTCTGTCCTTTCTACTCAGGGGGGGCCGACGGGATCCTTACGGCTATCTGAGCAGGAGGATCTTAGCGAGCCCGGTCCTTCTCAGGGTGGTTCATCATCCGAGGAAGGGAGTGTCAAAGACGATGTACCTAGCTCTTCCAGGTATAAATTATCCTTGGAGGATGTGGATGAATTACTGACTGCAATTTATAGCACGTTAGAGATCCGGGAAGAGCAGGTGCAGTTATCCAGACATGACCTTATGTATCAGGGGTTGCAGCTTAAAAAATCTAAATGCTTCCCAGTACATAAGGTCTTGTCAGAGGCTATTCTTAAAGAATGGGCTGAGCCTGAGAGAAAGCCTCTGAAGTCAGGGAACCTCAAGAGGAGGTTTCCTTTTGATGAGGATCCAGCCTTGGTGTGGAATAAGTCTCCTAAGCTGGATGCCCCATTAGCTAAGGTATCCAAGAAATCTGACTTAGCCTTTGAAGACATGGGGGTTTTGAAGGACACCATGGATAAGAAGATTGAGGTTCTTTTGAAAAGGGCATGGGACTCTTCTTCAATGAACCTTAGACCGGCTCTGGCTACCACATGCGTGGCCAGAAACATGGAGTTTTGGCTCTCGCAATTTAGAACGCATCTGCTGGCGGGTACCCCAAAAGCACAACTCTTGGAGTCACTACCTATGCTCTTCAAGGCAGTAGGTTATATCGCAGACGCATCAGCAGAATCTGTGCGGATGTCGGCCAGATCTTCTGCCCTTATTAACTCTTCCCGCATGGCCCTGTGGTTGAAAGCATGGGAGGGAGATGCGGCCTCAAAGCTGAGGTTATGCAATCTCCCCTTTTCAGGTGACTTGCTTTTTGGGGCAGAGTTGGAGAATATTCTGGAGAGAACGGCTGACAAGAAAAAGTATTTTCCAGATAGGAAGAAAATGCCTTTTCGGAAATTTTAATATTTGCCTCAGGAAAATAAAGGGGACAAGCCCAAGAAGCATTGGACGGGTCAGAAAGGCATACATGGTCAAGTTTCTCCACCTTCGCAAAGCATTATCGCCTAGATCTCAATACCGCAGGGGATCAGGCATTCGGCAGGAAGGTACTACAAGCGGTGGTCCCGCCCTAATTGGTAAGTTCTTGGTTATCCTCTCGTGATGCTGTCCTGGAAGACGTTATGGGAAATTCAGAGTTAGGACTTACCGGTAACTCTATTTCCATTAGTCTTCCAGGACAGCAACTGCCCGCCCATTGATGCTTGTAGTATTAATGTGATGTGGTGGTATTGCCTGTATGTGCCTTGTCTTTTTCCAGCTTGCCTTCGGTTCTCGTGATGACTGAGGGAGTGGAGGAGAGGAGGGTCTTTTAAGCAAATTAAGTGACGTGTTTCCTGTGTGTGGGGGAGGAGATTCCATCTCGTGATGCTGTCCTGGAAGACTAATGGAAATAGAGTTACCGGTAAGTCCTAACTCTGAATTTTTTAGTTTTTGACCATAGATGACCCTTTAAGTATTCCATACATGATTTGGGTCAAAAATGGTTATATGATCTAATGCGGAATTGTCTTCCTATACAGATATAGATATGTACAGTCTAATAGAGAACAAGCTTTTGATGATGTGGTATGATATTTTACAGGATGCTCTTCAGAAGCTGACAGAAAAACTGAACCTAAGTGGGACCACAGCAGTTCAAGATTCCTGTAACCCTGCCAAACACCGCAATACAACTGCAGTATTAGGCTGCTTGGCTGAGAAATTGGCAGGTGAGAATGTTGCAGCTAAATCTTTCTAAATGGTTCCTTTACTAGCAAAATCTTCTAATTTTCACTGATGCTTGGGAAAGCTTATTCCTACAATACATAATATAAAATATTTGAATTAATTGTAATAAGGGCTATACGCTGGTCCTGGGGTCCTCATGTACATGGAGGGCGCTGTGTATGTTCTCAACATGCATGTGTTTCCTCCCACAACCCTAAATCCTGTTTGTAGGCATCCTGGCCTCTACAAGTAGCCATACTGAGCATTTGGTTATATATTCTCTGTAAAGCTCCTAAGAATATATAGGCATAATATAAGTAAATTAAATGGGGGTAGCTTTATAAGGCGGTAAAGCTTTTGTCAAGGAAATCCTAGCACAGATTTGTTTTCTTCCTGGTAACACCTTGGATGTTTTCTTTCAGGCCCTGCCAGCATTTCTCTACTGAGTCCGGGGATATTAGAATATTTGTTAGAAAGTTTGGTAAGTTTTAAGCCTTTGTTACAGTTTTGTCTTGTGTTTTGATTGGTTTGCGGTTGCCTTATGGAGGCATTATATTAGATGATGTCTTTGTGAAAGGGAACGAGAATCCGCATTGTGATTGGTGCCCGCCATTCCAAGTTACTAATTTTATTTAAGGTGATTCACTGGTCTAAATGGCCGAGATGGCTTTGTCACAGCACAGCCAGCAAAAGAGACTCAATAAAAGCTTGTTAAAGGGAATCCATTAGGGTAGGAATAACCATGTCCAGACTCCTGCTTTTGTTCCTGGTTAGTGGCTAACCAAGTAGTTAAGGGTGATGGCTCTGACAGTTATACCTTTTAAATACAAGTCAGCAATGGCATCTTCTATATTTTTGCCCTGACGGGTTGCTTTTAACACTGAATTACAGGCTCCCGTTTAAATATCTGCCTATAACTGCCTGTGCATAGCCTACGTCTCCCAACAGTGCGACCCATGTAGTGGGGACTTCTGGACAATTTATTTAGGCTTAAAAGAGGTGATCACAAGAGATGCAAAAGTGTCATGATGTTTTCACTGCCTGGCCCATGCATACTAGGGGTAGGTGGGATTGAGATCAGTCATCCAGTGCACAATAGCAGTTCCTCTTTGAATTGCTGTGGTCCTCTGTTAAAGGATAAGCGCACTTATCCTTTTTTCTCCCTGACTTAACCTAACCCACTCTTTCCCTTTACAGATGCATACTTGCCTCAGTCCAACAGCCACAGTTCTCTTTGTTTAAATCCAGATGTGTAAGTCTTTAGTGTCCTGGTCACTCCTGTGCATTATAATCCCATAGGCTTCTAAGGGACCAACTCCAATCCTCTCTGGCTTTGGAACACAGCCCCATAGAAATCTGTAAGGCACTGATGCACAGGTGCTGCCAGGACAGTGAAGACGTGCACAGCTGTAAATAGAAAGTGGAACCATGACTGTCGGATTGAGGTAAGTATGCATCTGTGGAGAGGGGAGAGTGGGTTAAGTCAGGGGAAAGGGATAAAAAGGGTAAATGAACTTTGTTTTAAATCGCACAAATCCTTTACATCTCCATAGATACATAATGAGTATATAGGCCATGGAAAATGGCAGCTGAGTGGAAAAGTTTAGATGGAGGTGGAGATAAAATTTCCCTTAAAAAGATTAGACTTTGTTCTATACCCACCCGGCATAAAACCCAGCCCCACTCTACCCAGAAAGGAGAAATCTGTTGTATGTAGAATTAATATTAAATATTAAAGGAATTTATTAAACAAACTGTAACACTGACCTTCTATCTTCTAGAATTTCAGGTTTCATCCCATGGTCATTCTGTTTGCACTTATTGCACTGGAAAAATTTTCACAAACAAGTAAGAGCTGGTTACGGTCTTCTACATTCATCGATATTCTAATTCATTCCCTTTCTGATATTGTTAATGTCTCTGTTTTAGGTGAAAATAAGATGACTGTTTCACAGTCTCAGATTAGTGACCGTCTCCTCTTGCTGGAGACCTGGACAAACAATGGTGACTTCCTAAAGCGTCAGGTTGGCTTCTGTGCCCAGTGGAGTCTAGACAACCTGTGTAAGTATTTCTAATTGTATATAAAGTCACACTCAAGCCAAAACCAAAAATAAGGTTTTAATATACGTACTGGGAGCACAGCTGGCCTGCTTAGTATTTCTTTTTAACTCTTTATTGTATAAAAAAATTTGTGTAGAAATACAATTTTACAATGGTAGGATTTGTTCAAAATGCAAAGAACATACTTATAAATGATGGTAATGAAATCAAACGTTAACCATGAAAGTCTCTGGTGCGTTATTACATATATACGTTGAGGTACACAAAAGGTTCATTTATAAACTATTCACACAGCAGTTTACAGTGTGAACAAGATTTGTTGTGCTATATGGCCACTAGATGGAGCAGAAGAGCATAGGCAATTTCTGTGCTCATTGGCTCCACCTAGTGGCCACACAGCGCTGTGACTCTCGTTCGCACAGTGAATAGCTGTGTGAACAGTTTGTATATCAGGCCCTAAGAACAGAACTTTGGGAAGTTATCTGGGATCCAATGTAGCTGTACTGAATATTCACACCATGGGATCCAGATGTTGTGAACTTTCTGAATTATTTCAGGATTTTATTCTAGTTTTGTACTAGTTCATCTTATTCCTCTTTTCTGGTAATCTGGGAACACTTGCTTGTGGTATTGGAGAGCTTTTCCCAAACTTGCGCGCACACACGCACGCGCGCGCACACACACACACACACACACACACACACACACACACACACACACACACTACAGGTTCCTTCTTACTGAATATTTTTAAATAAAAAAGTTAGTAATAAGATGTTTGTCATAAACTCCTATTGCTAAATGTGATACAGGAAGCAGAGAGAAGGAGGAAGTTACATCCCAATTTAGGATGTACACTTTCAGTGATCCTGTGAGCTGCTCCCTGGATTTTGGTTGTGGTTGATTACAGAATATATAGATTAGGGTTATTTAAATGAGCATTCTGATTGTAGCACAGTTGCAGTATTTGCTAAAGATCATTAGTAGCTCACTGATTTAACTTTTTGCTCAGAATAATACAAAGCTTATAAATTTCCTCCCACACTCCAAAAACATGCTGGAAGGTTAATTGGCGTCTGTCTAAATTTGCCCTCGTATGAATGCATGCGAGATAGGGACCCTAGATTGTAAGCTCCTTGATGGCAGGGACTGATGTGAATGCGCACTATAGTATACTATACTGTACGCTATATAAATACCAATAATAATAAATATGACATTTATGAGACTAATGTGTATAATCTGGAGCAAAAAAGTTCTGACAAAAATGAAGCTGTTGTCCATAGCAACCAAATGTGTTTTATCTTCCACTGTCTTGGATGAGAAAACAAGGTATCTGTTTAATATGGTATTTGACTGCTCCCAGTTTTCAAAGGTCAATCCTGGAGTATTGCTGCTGATACGTACTGGGGGATAGCACTGTGCGGTTTCCTAATTCCATTTCTGTTTCAGTTTTAAAGGAAGGCAGACAATTAACTTACGAAAAGGCCGATTTATCTCCAATCAATGCCATGCTCAATAGTAACGATGTGAGCGAGTACCTCAAAATTTCTCCATATGGACTGGAAGTAAGTGTTTTATTCTTAATCATTGATCATTCGGCAGTTCTTGTAAAGGATGCCTAGTTACAGAGTATACCAATCGGAAATGAAATCTTTCAGTGTTGTGTTTAATAAGAGGCAGGCTTCGCGGACTCCATGGTTGAAGTAGCAACATTAAAGGCTTATTAAAGCCTCGTGTTTTTGTGCATACATCTACTGCTAGCAAGCAGTAGATGTATGCAAAAACAGAAAAATAAAGTGTTATCAAACGGTTCTAACTTACCTGTGTCTCTGTCGCGCTCCCGTCCGAAGATCTGAAAATTCTCGGGCGGCCGCAAAGGATGATGGGGCGGGCGCATGCACAGTAGCAGATCTTTAGATGGGAGAAGATGAGAGACTCAGTGTAGGTCAATGCAGCAGGGTGCACCCGCACAGACTCCGTGGGACAGGAAGAGGCCAGAGTTGGCGCTGGGACTCCTGAAAACTACTGGAAAGAAGATGATCGGATCAAGAGGCATCATTTAAGGTAAGTCCTTACACCACCATTGGGGGGGAGAGAAAAACATTTTAGGCTTTAATGTAATTTTTTAAGGCTCCATTCACACCTACACTTTAAGTGCGATTTTGTACTCCTGTGTTAAGGTGCCCATACACTTTACAACCCTCGCAAGACTTTTGTCCTGCGAGGGTTGTAAAGTACTTTAAAAAACGTACGATCTGCCCATCTTGGACAGGCAGATCGTACTTGCGATCATCGCAAGCCCACCCTCCTGAGGGGCGGGCTTGCGATGACTGCAAACGGGCAATGTGCGCATGCGCACACCAGCCCGACTACTGGAAAGAAGATGATCGGATCAATAACTCGCCGGCAGGTTTTCCAGCCTGCTTGTTCGATGGAAGACGTGCGACCGTACAGTAGAAACGGTCGCACGCCTTCCATACACTGCACGATTCTCGTACGATCGCGGCATTTCCCGCGATTCTCGTACGAGAATCGTGCAGTGTATTGGCACCTTTAGGAACTTGCAATTTTCTGCTAAAGGAATCCCAAATCTGAAGTTTACAAGCGGCAGCTGTCACCCGTTCAAGTTAATGATCTGGTGAAAGCGGGGGAACACTGGCACACACAATGATGTGTAATACGATTACATGTGGTTAGGAATCAATCACTATACCTATAATCAATCACTATACCTGGAATCAATCACTATACCTGGACTCATTCAAAAAGGACCCTTTTACACTGTTGTGTTGTAACGTAAGAGCGGTTAAGGTCTGGAACTCACTGCCATCGGCAGTGATTTCAGCCAAGAGTGTAGATTTGTTCAAGAAACGTTTGGACAATTTCTTGAGGGACCGTAATATTCAGGGATACCAGTATCCCTAAGAATGAGTTGAGTGTGGACCTATATGGGTTGGACTTGATGGACTTATGTCTTTATTCAACCCCAAATACTATGTAACGTGCGTGTTTTGATGTGCTAAAATATGTCATAGTTCCCCATAATAAAGATAGTGTCTGTTCCCATCAGAATGCAGTACATTTGTTTATAAAGACATCATGTCTGTTTTTTGCTTTGTTTTGGTGCGATGAGAGTCACATAGACGTCAATGGCAATGAATCAAAATGCATGTAACATGTTTTGATGCATTGGCAACGGGTATTAAAAAGCCTTGACTGCTAATTCTACCACTCCAAATACTAACATAAGAAGGAAACATGCGTTAATACGTGACAACCCACCTGTCCAATGCCACACAAAAAAAGCCTTTGCACACGCATAGATCTAAATGGGCCATCTTAATGCCAAGGGCTCTATTTGACTTCAGAATTGTATTTGCACTAACTGAAGCAAATATACAGGAAATCTGAAATTGGAACTCATAATCTTAATGGTTGTTCTGATTCGGTCACTTAGAATGGACCAACACCATTGGACCATCATGACAGCCAGAGAAGGTGCATTTTTTTTGGAAGGAAAGGTCAGCAGTGGTGGCTTCTAGAGCTGCAGCTAACGATTATTTTCAAAATCGATTAGTTAGCCGATTATTGAGTTTGATTATCCGATCGTGGATGTGGGAGGGCGGTGAGGGTGAGGCGGGGAGGAGGTGCAGCATGTGGATGCAGGCGGGTGTCTGGCAGCAGCGAGCGTAAGGTGGGGAGGAGGCAAGGCGCTCAACGTGTGTGGAGCCGTGAACAGGGCCAACTAACCAGAAGCCGATTAATTGATGATTGAAAAAGTTGACAACTTTTTCAATAATCGATTTATAATCGATTATGTCGATTAGTTGTTGCAGCCCTAGTGGCTTCCTTAATACAGATTTTTATTTAAGTGGGCAGATGGCTTGCTCTGTTACACCTTGTTCATGATTGGAGACGAACAGTATTTTTGCATTAATGTTCATCTTATATAATTGACACGCAGTACATTCCATGTTCTAGCTGAGTCTTTGTTCACAATAATACACACAGTTCTTCATTGGAAGAATTTGCTTGCCTTTATTGTCGACATTCTGAGAACAGTTTAGTAGTGACAGCAGACTGAGCTGTTAAATATTAGCACAGTTAAAGCTAAAAAAAGAAAGGAATGCCGCCACTACAGCTAAAGACCGGTGAGCTGCAATATGTTACATTTTTGTACTTGGTTTACAATACACTATAGGGCCCGTTCACATACACAGAGGTGACTGGTGGTTTTCCACCCTTCCTGACGCAGGAATACTGGTGGTTTTCCACACTGGACCAATGCCAGTAACTGCTAGGGCACATGGAAAAACAATTGCTTTCTATGCGTCCTATTCATACAACAATGCAGGAGTGAGGTGCGGTGGGCTGCCGCTGCCATGCTGTGTACACTCAGAATATAGTTTAAAAATAGGCTTGGTTGTAAGAACGCAAAGCACCATGGCTCATCAGTAGCATGTGGACACTAGCTGCATGGCAAAGCACTGCATTTTACTGTGCAGCTAGTGTAAATGAGCCCTTGATCTTCACCTGGACAGAAGTCATGGTCCCATGTACAGCTTGGGCCTAGTCACCAAGGGGGCTGCCCAGAAACACATGGACCAATAGAAAGACTGACACAGGTATTCACAGGCACCACAAGGGGCTTATTTCAGCACTGATGCAATAATAGTAATGTTTTTGGGCCAGTTCAGATTCAGTTCACGTTAAGAATTGATGAACGTCCTGTTAGTGTCTACCGGTTGGTAAATTCTCTATCTCAATAGATGTGCATTGTGGAGTACACTTGCTCATTTCTCCATGCCATGCCTAACTTAATGTGTTTTCACTCGTCTAATAGGCCCGCTGTGATGCATCATCATTTGAGAGTGTCCGCTGCACGTTCTGTGTAGACTCTGGTGTGTGGTACTATGAAGTAACTGTCATTACCTCTGGGGTCATGCAGATAGGATGGGCCACAAAAGACAGCAAATTCCTCAATCACGTGAGTAACAAGAAAGCAAAATGCGTTTTAAAGGAATTGCAATTTTTTTTTTTTA